CACGTCCCTAAACCCGGTCAACGCTTTGGTAAACTCGACAGTCTTTTTGACATTACGCTCAAAACGGGCGGTAATCTCGCCGTACGTCTGGTCAACGTTGGCCACAACACCCGTCACACGTTTAGCCTCAGGTTCGCGCATAAAATTAATGGCGTGCATGAGTTCAGTCAGTTTGAAACCCTCGAGTTCGCTAAAATTGTTACGATAGTCAGTTACGGGTCGGGCGATGGGCAGTACAGCGAACTCCATCTCGACCGCAGTCTGGTATACATCATCATCGATGGCAGTCATACTGTACTCGCGTTTAATGACTGGTCTAATGACTGGTTTGATGTCTTGATTATCATCGCCGCCGCTGTCGTAGGAGAAGCCGTAGGAATCGCTTCGCCGGAACCGCTCAGCGCCGGTGACAGTCAGCGCTGCGGTGGGCGGCGATTGGCCGCCGCTGTCTGAGGTCGAGAATATGCCCGAATCGGGCGACGAGTTGTGTCCGTTTCGGGCCTCCATCGCCGACTTCACCGTCTGTTCGCTGAGTTTGCGTTTTCGACGGTTTTCCTCGATTTTTAACCGAATTAATTGTTTCTCCTTTTCGTTTAGTATGGATTCCTATGGGAAACAAGTGGTCAACACATTAGACAATTCATCACAAACTACTGATCCATATCTTGTAGTCTCTCTCTCTCTCTCTCTCTCTCTCAGTATTCATACCTTTTTCATGCCCTGAGAGTAGCACTTCTTGAGCCGACATTTCTGGCAGAACTTTCGGGTCACGGAATTTATTTTGCAATTGTTATCAAACGGACACTTAAACTCCTGGTTAATGATCATTGGGTTATTACCATGTATTTAAATATAAGTTACTAAATATGTTACATGCCTTATTTTTGACCGCAGTCCTCCTGAAAAACGCTTTACACGACTCACAGGTGACCGCACCAAAGTTTGTACCTGGGTAATTATAATCATCATGGGTAATTAGAATTATTATGTGTTTGTGCTATTTTAAGTGAATGACCATTAATTTTACAAATAAAACTAAATACAGTTAAACTCATTTTGCTATAATGATGTAAAAAATAATATCATTTAATAATTAAGTGAGGAAATGTGTATTTTATTTATTTAACTATTAAATTAATAGTATTCATATAATTTACAATTACTTTATTGACGTGTTTTTCAATGAGAATATTATAAATACTATTATAATTAATTAATGTACTATAATTGTTTAGCCCGCAATTAACTACAGTACATATAATATACTGTATACTTTACATATCATTTATATAATAATATTTTGTATAGTGTAATGTCGAAATAGAAAACACCCAGTACGAATAAACATGTGTGCTATAATGAATTGGAAACTAACGCACCGGGATATGTTCAATGACTTTTATAAACAATTTAGACTAAAACTCAAGGTCCTTTTAATTTAAAGGAAAGCCATAAGTTCAATGAGGGTCATAATTATTATTTTTTAAAATGATAGTGATTTCTCTAAACTACCTATCGCATATTAATTAAATAATTTTTAGTTACCTCACTACAGTATAATAATTACAGATAATCTGATTACGATCACCTTGGTAATATACCGGGACTAGACAATTAATAACCTTAATTTATATCTAATTAACCCTAAAATAAACATTAAGGTTATTATAACAAAGAAAGAGCAAGTGTTGAAATACAAGCAAGTATTATATGATTAAAGCAAACAAACAAAATGATAAATTACATACCAATAGCTCTGTCACCGCAAACACAGCAAGTTTTGTTGATTTTGCGATCCATTATAAACACCTTATCAGTCAACATATGATAAACGATCACGATTCAATTTACAGTATATTCATGAAATGTTACAATTAACTATGTTAAATATGATTGCCACCAATTATTGCCCCGATTCTTGTACTTTAATATACTTTTAATGGCAGTAATAAATGCGCTGATAAATAAGTGACAAAAACAGACTTCAATCGATTAATAAATAATTGCTTTTCTTAATAAAAATATGCAAATTAATGCACTGTTTTTTAAATATAATAATAGTAACAGTGCAGTTTATGCTAGTATACTATTATTACCACGATTAAATGTATAATCAATATAAGTTACTTTACATACACATATAAAATACTGTAGATATACGTACGATATACAGTATTCACAATCACACACTATATCAGTTATTCTATGAAGGCTTTTACATTACAGTAGAAATAAAGTACTATACAGTGTATACTCGGTTTTCTCACTTCACGAATAGGCACAGAATATTTTATTCAATAAACAAAAAATGTATTCACGAATCGATTCTTGTCGTCAATAGATATGTAAATCTATATCTCTTTATGAATGTTATATCATATCAATGGCAATATATATTGTGGTGTATATGTTATATATAGCGCCACTACAACGAGACACTCAAATCTTTGAGCGCAGGTATTGAAACATCTCATAGAAATGCATTATATGTTTGGCAATAATATTGTTAATTCAGTTTCAGTACACAATTCTTGAGCTTTTTCTGTGTAACAGTAAAACGGTTTACGAGAGTCTATGTATTCACACACACAGGGATTGTATGACTGGAGCGGTAGTGTTAACAGCAAAATAAATATACACAACACAAGTCAATAATTATAACAATAATGTATTTAAACGTTTCAATGATTTTGTTGAGGGAATGCCAAACACTGAATAAGAAAATTGAATAAGGTTGTTTTAAAAAAATATTTAATAAAAACTAAAAAATTACATAATTATAACAGCATTCGCCGATACTATACACACAATTTTATACATGCATTTTCAATGGCAGAGTGCATATATTGCATGTATGGCTAATATAACCACTTGTATGGTTAGAAATGAATGCCCGGCTGTTGAGAGAGTTTGCGTATAAATTCATATATTGATAGAGAAATTGTTTGCACAAAAACATACTGTTGAATTAATGTACAGATTGCGATACTAGGGTAAAATAGCAACTATTAATGAAACCTGTTTATTTAGCAACGACACTGTTTTGCACTATCCATCTCGTATAGTACTCTGTGCATTTTCTACGTCTACCATATCATTAGCTTTATCACCTAGATGATAATAAATTTTAACTCTGTTAATTAATGATTTATATGCGGGCATAGGGTTGGCACTTCTTTGTTTGTGAAATTAACCAGGATATTATTGCCCAAAATATAATCAATGCTTGTTTTTGAACTATATATTTCGCAATTATTTTACTTTATTTAATTATAAACCCTCTCTATTATCTGACCTTATATTAAATAATAATTTCCCAACAGATAATAGGTTTCGCAAATGCTAGACATGTTCAATTATTTACAAATTTTCAATTAACTTATAGTTATTTTAAGTTTTTTGTTATATAATTATCAAAATAAAGTACTGAATATAAAATTATATGCAATTAAGAATAGATTCATCACGATTAATGAATTAACAAAAATTACCTTTTTATTATTTTTAAAGGCACATAACAGTGTATAATACTTTTTCTTACTAGTTAAATCATCCTATGCTTAAGTTCTGAAAACTTTATCGTAGATATAGATTAAAAAAAATATACATGAAATAAGACAAACAACAAAAACATATTATATTTTATTTAATAAAAAACAAATTATATACAAAACAGTAATATTGACTAAATTGTTAATTGAATAATAATTTCACGCAATAACTACTGTATATACAAAAAAAATATGCAAAAATACAAAACACTTTTACTTTCAAAACACTGTAATTAACGATCATTTCCGTTGTTTATGTGTCTATTATTTTAATAGTTTTTATTTTTAAAATTTATTATTTTGATTAACATTACGTACAGTATTACAATCAGTCATTTAGCAACATCATTCAAATAACAATAATAATAATCGTAAAACGTTGCTTAATTAACTTTAAAGTTACCCAGGCGTTATGATGAGATTGCTTAGTTTTTGCTAAACACCTGTTGCCAATGGGAAAGTTAAATTCATTAATCTTGATGAATCTATTCTTAATTGCATATAATTTTATATTCAGTACTTTATTTTNTTTTAAAGTGAAACAATCTTTTCATGTGTTTGTTATATTCTGGTTGAATATAGCATATGATTTTCGAGGCTCTCTCTCTCTCTCTCAATAATAAAATATATAAAATATTAACAATTTCTTTATTAAATTATTTATTTAATTTAAATATGAATACAAATAAGAAATAAAAAGTCAATCATTATTATTAAACATCAAAAATCTCTTTAAGAAATGGTCCCATAATTTCGGTCCGCATTTCATTGCATTTTCTAATGAATATATCGCCCAATATATTAATGTCGACCAAAGTGTTCATTAGATTCAAAAATTTTGCCCTCGATTTCTCTTCCAAACGGTATTTCAATATTAAATACCGTTGAAGTAAATGCATGTATATATTCTGTTGCAGCCTATGTTAGAGAAACAATAGGGTATTAATAATAAGAAATTCTTATTAAGAATATAGCTATAAAATAGTTTTATTAATTGTCAAATTAAAAATTGGCAAATAGACCAATATGACTTTTTTGTTGCTACTTACTTGACTACCTCCCGGTGCAAAAGGTTCGGACGGTTCGGATCAAAGAGTAGGATAATTGTCATCTAAGAAAATACACAATAAATAGTAATTTTTTAAGCAAAACCCAATCGTAATGAATGCAATGATGCGTTTAAAATGACGGGAAAAACAAATGTAATACCAAATCAAGTATATAGGGATCGCTATCCCATTCATCGCTTATTTTTTTGAAACAATTGCCAAAGATCACTTTCATGGCTTCGTGTTTGAACATGTCCACTTTGGATAAGATCCAATTATCTGTGCCCTATCAGGCGTGAATAATTGAGTTTAAAATTCTAACTAGATTTACAATTTATTATTTTATATAGAGTTTAATAAACTATTTATAAAATGCTTATTAAATAAGGATTATACAACAATTTTATATTGCAAAAAAACTATACTAAATAATAAAACCAATAAAATTACCCTCATTATTATGATCAAATATGACTACTTACCATATTAATAGTCCAGGACTGGGCCTCTGTATTATAAAACTGTATTAAACGCATGCAAATAATCTCGACGGACCCATATTTGACCAGGGCAATCCGATCATTCTCGCACAGGCACTCAAACTCGGCCACATTTTGGGCTACACTAATAAAGTTACGTATCTCTTTCTCCAGCTTATAGACCATGGCCACTTTAAAATTGACCATATCGGACACGCGGGGACTCGCGGGCAACGGGTCCTCCCGAATAAAGTTGATAGCCTTAAACATCTCGCTGAGTTTGTCCCACTCGTACGTATTGAACGACTTATTATAGTCACCGACATGTCTGACAATACCCGCGACCGACTCGCGAAACTCATTACGCTTTTCGTTGCCATACGTGTCGTAAATGGTGGCGATTTGGGCGTTGAGTTTCGTCCGACGGCGACCCCTGGCGTAGTCAACGGCGGCCACCAGTTGTCGCTCATCGCCGCCGCGTTTGTCGTCGTTGTTGTTGTCGTCGGACACCGAGCTGTCCGATGAGGAGCCCATGTGTTTGCCATTAGACGTGTCGCTGAACGACGACGAGTCGCCGCTCAGCGACTCCCCGGTCGAGCCGTAGTGATTGTGGCGCTTATAGGATGTGCTGTCCACTAGTGGTGGCGCAGGTGTCGGCGCCTTAGACACCATTAGCCGCCGGTATAGCTCGCGGTTACGCTTTTTCACCTTATTGTCGGCGATTTTTGACCGCATTGTTTTCAATTCCTCGTCATTTAGTATCCATTCCTAGAGTTGGCCAACAAATAACAGTTAATTAAAATTACTATTCAAAACATTAATGTAAATTAATGCCCACTTTTCTCATTCCCAGCGCAAAACACTTGTCTAACCGACACTTTTGGCAGAACTTTCTTGTTATCACATCTATCTTACAGTTGTTGTCAAATGAGCACTCGATGGTCTATGTGGTCGACATTTATGGTTTAGTATTTGTTATTTAGATGATCATGGTACAAGTGAACATATTGTTTTTACCTTAGTCTTGAGCGCATTTCTCCGAAAGAATGCTTTACATGACTGACACGATATGACACCAAAATTAAACACTAAATAACAATAAAAGTTGTGATAATTTGAGACATTTTAAAGTAATTAATTTATACAATGTTTAATAAGTATAAGTAAAAGTGCCCTAGGTGATTATTATTCACTTTCGATTACACAATAATAGTTTAATTACGTAGATATTTATTTAATCGATGCATATTTATAACTTATAAATTATAAGATATATATTATATTTTGTATCTAATTTACAATTAAATGTAAAAAATAATTTGTTATCAATTCATACCAAAAGCCTTATCGCCACAAACGAGACATTGTTTTGCTGTCTCTTTATTTGCCATTAATTTGTTTAATAATCAATGACTTGTATTGAATCAAATATTTTACTTAATTATTAAT